ATATCCTGTGCTAAGCATGTTAAAAGCCATAACTTTATTAATCAATTCCTTTGGCATGGATGTAACTCATGTCTTAGATGTGATAACTGCATCAAACAAAAAACATGAATGAACCAAAATTGGTTAAAATATTAGAGTGAACAAAATGAAAAAAGAAAAGAATGATGGAAAAAAGAAAAAAACTTTCCTTACACTCTAGCCCTTTTATAACATTTCTCTGTGACATCATCCTCTCTACTCTGCTGACCAATTGTGTTCCTATAACTTCTATTTATGTATAAGTGATGAAAAATTAACTCCACTGGCAGTACTGAATCTACCGTTGCAGTCTGACTTTTCTTCTGTCAGATCAGCTAAACTGCTTTTTTAGTTTCCCTAAATTCTTAGAGTTTGAATTGAATTTTTCTAATCTGCCAACCACAGTCAACATGTGGACATTTTACAGATCTATGTGAAAAGCTGTACAACATGTTGCATTCATACAATATGAGTAAGTATGCCTTACAATAATGGTACTAATTCTTTATTTTAAATATTTAGGGGAACACTTTTTTTTAGTTGTACATGCATATTGTATACTTTCTAGAAAAAAAGAAGTTTTTATGCAGAGAAATTGGCCTCTTCTAAGAATAAAGCTTCTTCTGCTGCTAATAAAGAGGGTCAGTTCTATGTCCCCACTACAGCATTCAGATTTAACCTAAAATTCCCCAACATCAAGAGACTCTGTCACTAAAAAAAATGTGCAAACAACAAGTAAGATGAAGCAAATAAGAAGATAAATACTTACCAGTCCTGCCCTGCCGGAACATCATAAATAGTCCCCCGAAGTCTGCAGAAATGGGCACTTCTGGAAGTTTTGATTTCTTATATCCCCTGCTTTACTCAGTAGTTCCTCCTGTCATCCCGCACATTACTGCTGAGTCCTATAAACACTACACGTACGCGGTCACACCAACACGGTCAGCAGGAGGGGGCCACTAATCACAGCTTTGGGTGACAATTTCTGTTCACTGGAGTGGCATTTGGCAGCATGAACAGGGAGAGGTAAGCATTTACGTTTTGTTTGGAATTAATATTTTGTTTGCCTTTTCTTTTCAGCAACAGAGTTGTTTTATTCTTAGCTAGTAAATGCTAGTATGAACAAGGTCAGATTCAGCAAGTATTTACAAAGTATCTTACCAAACTTAGTTTCATAATGCTCATAAATTAGCAACAGATCTAAAATGCGCAAACTTAGGATTACACACACATACATGTAAAAGTTTTCTTGAGTGTCCTCAGAGCCCTGAATCAAGATTCATATTGATATGCAAATTGTATTACTTTCCTGTAGTGCTGATTGCTGGCCTATCAGTATGATGACAACCACTACTGGCCAATAGTAAGCTATGGAAAGTGGCAGAAGGTGAGCCCACATTTAAAAGTATAAAAAACTTGCACTTTAGAGGTTGCCAAAATTTTGGATTCCTAGGACACGTAAGAAGAAGATGTGCACCTGAATTGTAGTCAGGGAAATAGGCAAGATTCAGGCTGGCGCAAACCAATGGGACTGGAGCTCACTCCGCCAATGTTAGGATCCACGGGGCTGCTCTCTCAACCAGGGAGTCACTGGAATCTTGGCAACATGCAACAAAACACAGAACAGATGCCACCTTCTAGTGCAGTATGTTTATTGACCAAATTATTAAATAGAAGAGTACAAAGGTTCTACTCACTATTCCTGAAGGTAACCAGGCATATAAATAATATCCGATGGTCAAAGAACACTGTATAGTGGTAGGTGCAACCAACCCCCAAGGTCTTGCTCTGAGGAAGGGGTTAGTTTCCCCGAAATGCGTTAGCAAAGCCCCCCTGTTGGGGTGCACCTACCACTGTACAGTGTTCTTCGACCATCGGACTCTGTTATTGATATGCCTGGTTTCCATTATTAATAATGAGTCTTTTTACTCTTTTATTTCATCATTTGGTCAATAAATATACTGCACAAGGAGGTGGCACCTGAATTTTAGTCCATTGAGAAGTTTAGAAGATTAGGGGACTGGCATATATGCCTTAAAAAAGCTTTCAATCCAAAGGTACCGATCCTATTGACTGTAGTTTTTACTAGGCTTCAGCAGACCTTTGGCAGGTTGTATCACTGATTCATGCTTAGTAAACCCTGTGGCGAACTGCTCAAAGAATGTTTAGTGGGACAACCAGCATTCCGTTTAGGATCTGTATGCAACACTTCCAGACTAGAGTGGTAGACAGATGGGTACTTTTATGTACAACTGCACATTCACTACCATGATGCGTTTTTTATGAATGTGAATATGATTTATTACTGAAGAGAGTCTGCCTGCATCTTAGCTTTGAGTAGATCTTACTGTACCCTAAAAGATATGCTCCTGGGAGATTGCTAATTTAATTTAATGCAAAACAGGTTTCCAAACAGCAGCCTCTAGTGGTGGTCACAAACAACTTGATAAAAGCTTTGTAAATGCGTGGTAATTCTGTTGTGTTTCAGAAAAAGGATTCAGATGCTATAATTAAACAATGCTTGTGTATATGATGCTTTAGTTTAGCCTGGGGATCCTATATTTAATTAAAGCATAAACCTTGTTTAGGAGAGTTAGACTTGGATTTTTCAAAATCCCTACTTTTGCATTTATGCTGCCCCAAATAGTGATGTTTTGCACAATAATAACAACCAAACAATTGTTCTACAGAATTGAAAGACAGACTGCTATGTACCCCTTTCATTACCATAATTTGCACACATTCAGAATTAAAAAAAAAACACAGAGAACAAAAATTAAGGTACATGTACAGATTTAAATGTGAAAACCAAAGCATTTATGAATCTAGAAATAACTTCTGCAGGCTATAGTATCCACAGTTGTTTGGAAAAGAACATCAGCCTTCCTAGATTTGTCACATCTCTGTTTTATTAACACCAGCCTGGATGGTAAAATATTAGATTTCTTCTGTGTGAACTGATGAATGGTAAAATATTAGATTTCTTCCTTGTGAGCAGATGAATCAGAATATACCTCTGTAGACAGCTTTTTAACTCAGTTGAAGCAGGTAGAGAATTCTGAAAACTTTAGAGCATAACTGTGATGTCAGAAATGCAACTGGTTACAGAGGTGGTTCAGTTCTTTTTCAACGAGACTTTTTTGTAGACACCAGCTATTGGTATTCAAAGATTTTCTTTGCTTTTGTACTTTTAATGCAGTTAAAAGATTATCTGACTCTAAAATAATGTTTCCATTATGAGTGGACTTCTGTAACAACATATCCCAGCTAGATTTCCTGGCTAGGCCCTCCCCTGCAGAGCCTAAATCTTCCTGCTTTAGTGTTCTGCATCATAAAATTAATCTGAGTGTTGCTATGCCTAAATGTATTATATTTTTAGAGTGGGGAACCAATAGAACCCCTTTCAGGCCTTTTTGCTGTTGTGAACCTGTTTTTGTGAGATTTTCCTGAAATTCCTGTCTCAGTGAGGGCATTGTCATCAGAAGAGGAAGTGAGGGGAAATCTCTCAAACAGGAACATAATGCCAATAAAAAAAACTTGTGGTTACATGGCAGGGGAATGCTAGACCTCTGTCAGATTATTATTTGCTGTCTGTGTGACAAATAAAGAATTCTCCTCACTTCTTGCTACAGTGATAACGTTGAGACCAATATAGAGTCATATATAGGAGGCACTAGATCACTTGTTATTAATATTCAGCAATACAAATGACCTATTCGATCAATAAGCTGTCTAGCTTCAGTGAGGCTGCCCACAAGTAGCACTGTGCTCCCAACTGTAGGTCCTGAACAAAGCCCAAAAATGTAAGAAAAGCAGTGAGAGGGCCCACCATTATTCACAGAGTCCAAAGTACCAAAGTAGATTTTATTGAATAAACGTTAGGGTAAACAAGACAGGCAATGTGTTTTAGGGTTTTACACACTCTTTCTTCATCAAGGCTTTTTGGACTCAATATGGTATTATTAGTACTTATATATGTGATTTTTTATTCAATTTTTGGTGTGGCGTTCTCAATGTTCTCTCATAAACCAAGACAGGAAGTGAAAATAAATCTCCCGAATGGGGCATAGAAAAAAAAGAAGAAAAAACTGACAGAGGTTCTAACCTTGCTCTAAATCTGCTTTAAATCTAAAGCAAAAAATAGATAAAACATTTTGCACACTTTCAGTAATGAGGAATGGCTGTAATTAGAGGATAACTCTGGGATGTCATATAGAGAGATCTCACTGCTGAAGTCTGCAAGAAGTATAAGAAAATAGTGGATTATTTAAATTGCTTATTCTGAACTGAAACTAAAATCTGTTGTGGCGAAACTAACTCTTTCATAGCTGTTTTTAAACAATGTATATTAGGATAATATGGCAAGCTCACATTCATTAATAAAACTAAATAATACTGTTGCTGTATGGAGACAGCTCTAACCTTCTTTGTTGATTGTTACTTAGAAATAATAATCACAATAAGCATCTGCTAACATCAATATGCATTCTGTTGTCTCAAGCCATTTGTATTCATTAATACTCGTTGTTGCTACAAGTCATAATTACAAATTAATTTGAAAAATGCATCACTAACTAATCCTGCTAAATTGTTTATTTTGCCTCCTTTTTTAAAAAAGAAAATACAAATATTTTAAACTTGAAAATGTAATGACCACTGGTGCTAACTTGTACATTATGTTCCTGAAATGTTTTGCTTTTTAAATGGTTCACTCCTGTCGACTATGTGAAATTGTAATAGCTGCTGTCATGGTATTACTCCCACAGTAATACCTTGGAAAGGAATACAAGGAAAGTTGTCATATTTTAGAGAAGAAAATGGCAGTGATCCTTTCTGGCAAGGTATACTGTATACACTACATAGAGCATTGCATTTGAATCCTTCAATTAACGTGATTAAGATATGGTAACAAGATGCACATAGTAAACATGGATACATTTTCTAATTGCAGAATAAATTGTAATTATAAAGTTGTACGGTACCTGCATTACTGGTTGAGATGTTAATTTCCGCAAACTGCTTAGTATACATGCTAAAATCAGAGACTCCATTTACAGACTCCACCCGGATAGTGTAGTTCATGTGGGGCAGCAAATTTACCAGTGTAACTGTCCGCTCAACTAATCCAATCTGCTGTGGAACATACCCAATACTGCTGCCACAGGGCTCACATTGTTGAAAGGCAATGAAGCAACGGTCACAGAAAATATTGTACATAATGTCCCCTCTGCCTCCTGTGTCCAGTGGTGGATTCCATTCTAAAACTAGCGTTGTCTGCTTCATGCTATAAATGAGATCTTTTGGGGCTGAAGGTGGGCCTGGAGAGGAAATTCCAACAGAAATAATGAGATTATTTTTATTCAAACTTGTCTTACCTGTAAAAATAAAGTACATTTTTTATATTAACTTTGGTCATAAAGCAAGATTACCATTGCTGTTACTACTAATACTTTGCATTTACTATATGCATGGCAGCAACAACAACTTCATTCCTTCTCTCCCAGCTGTCCATCTCTCCGCTAGATTTATTGACTTCCAGACGCTCAAAATAAACCTGTCCTTTGAATATGCAGCGTATAGCAAAAAGGTTCACTTAACTGCAGCCCATACAGACTCATCATCCTTTCCCTTCCCCACTACTCTGGTTCAGCCACCAAAGAGAGGATGCCCGGTGAAAGCTCTGAAATATCACCTAGGGGTCTATTCACTAAGCTGCAGTAGGCAGCCGAGTGAACAACCGACCTGAAGCGAAGAGAGCCGAACGCTGTTCGGCTATTCACTTCAGGCTGGTACAGCTGATTCCAGTCATATATCGGCTGAAATCAGCTGTACATCGGGTGGCTTCATCTGGCTTCGGGTCGACCGAAGCCACATGTTAAAAAAGTAGAAAAAAAACACAATAGAAAGCGATTGTGCGGAGCTAGCAGTGACAGCTAGCTCCGCCCAACTGTTTTCTATTGGCAGGCGGTTCTGCTGCCGTCAAAAAAATAGAATAATTTTCGCCATAGGAATGCCTTGCTAGATTTCTATTCTCTATTTCAATTTGAATTGCCAATAGCAAACTAGCTATTGCACCCGCCCTCTACTGCTGTCAATCATTAGAGGGGACCTGATGGAGAACTGCAGGTCTGCTCTGCTGATTGACAGCAGCAGTGGGCAGGTGCAATAGCTAGTTTGCTATTGGCTATTGCAAATTGAAATAGAGAGATGTGAAGATAGGTCACCAGCACTCCAAAATGCAAAGAAAATATAATTTATTGCAAATAACATAACACATGTCAAAATAGCCAATATTTTGGGCCTGTGCAGGGTCCCTTCCTCAAGGTGACAAAGTGACGCCCCGAGTAAGGACCCTGCACGGCCCCAAAACGTTGCCTATTTTGACCTATGTGATGTTACTTCCAATAAACAATATTTTCTTTGGATTTTGGAGTGCTGACGATCTATCTTCACATCCCTGGGTCTAAAGTAAGGTACGTAATGAAAGGTTTTATTTAAAAATGTCTTTAGTTGAAAAGGTGGAAAGAAGGATCCAGGTAAGGCAAAATATAAGTCAATTAAAACTCCAGCGGTAAATTAACAATCCAGGGAAATATTTTTTGTAGCTGAATGGGCTTCTTGGATGTCACACTGTGTAAAGGAATGTACGACTACTCACGTGTACACAAAGTAGAAGGGGTGTCCAGGGAAGATCTGTAGAAGTTCTTCTCACAGATACATGCAGTAGATGCTTCTTGATTGGTGTAGCTATGTTGAGGACAAGGAATACAGGTCTGCAGTCGGCTGGGCATCTTGTAAAAACCAGGAGGGCAAGCTGTTTTAAAGAACAAGTATACATAAATGTAAACAAATGCTGAACTCTGAAATATTCTATTGTACTATTGGCAGCTAGTGGGAAAAAAAATTTATGTTACCGAATTTTGATGCACAGATGATAATTATTTATAGGTATTGATTTAATAAAGGCAAACAGGCTGCTCACTTTACAAGGACATTTTTTGCTGGCTTAGTGAATGTGGTGAAAATGTACTTCACAAAGAATACCCAATCACATGCAAGGAAATAGATATAAATAATATTTGTTTGCACATGATTGGATGGAAGTCGGCAGAGCTTAACCTCTTTCACTAGGCTAAGGGAAAATTCCCTTGCAAAGTGAAAAGACTATTTGTCTTTAGTAAATCAACTTTACAGAATCTTTCTTTATGTATATGAAGATAAAATTCAACAATCAGGTATTTAAATGACTGACAGCAAAGAAAAAGGTTGAGTCACAGGAACTAGTGATATGAAAGGCACGAAATACAGTTTTTGTACTGACTTATCAGTTGCAACCATTAGGTTATGATTTTTGTCAATATCCAAACTATTTTTGGTAAAAGTAGAAAAATTAAATGAGGATAATTGGCTAACTAATGGAATTCATAGTTGACCTAAAGCTAGAACGTACATATCACGTTTCGCATGCTCCGTCCAACTTTATAAACCTGACGCTTTTCATAGGATTAAACTATTTCTCTAATTGATTTATTGATGATACATTGGTTTCAGCATTACCACTATGCATGGTCCCAATACAGCAGCAGGTCACACAACCCAATGGCTCTGCAGTGTACCCTGCAAAGCAATAATATTAGGTGCATAAGAGGTAGAACACTAAAAAAAGAAGCTCTGTGTTAGTAGTCTCAGGGTTCCTACATATACAAGAAAGCAGAAGATACTTTGCAAATATTTTTTATGTTTTATGTTGGGGTTTATTTTATGTTAGAATTCAGCTCAGGCTGCAAGAGAACTGTAAATGGCCTGGATACAATGTAGATATCCTAAAGGTGATTACCCATAAACCTGAAGTGTAGTGTATGCATATAATACCTTTCATTGTTCCTTCTTCCCCCTAACAAACATGCAAAATAAATTTTAATCAAATTATATTATTTTTTAAGAAATATCTGTTTTGAGACCCAGTGATGTCTTTTAGTGGGAGGCTCCTGTGAGCATCATAGCTTTCTGCCTTAAATCTTTTTCACAATAATTATATGAAAGAACACATTCTTGAGATCCCTTTAGATGTCCATGCTTCTCCCTGCTGGCCACTGGGTGCTGCAGACTTAAAGTGACATTAAACCCTCAGACTTTTTAACATAAACCAATACTGTAATGTGTGCCTTAGTGTAATCCATGGTTGTTTCCCTTCTCTTTGCTGCTCTTCCTTTTAAATCCTTCTCTCTTCTCATGCTGGGGGAGAACTTCCCTTTGCAGCTGAGTGCCTCTTCCTGTAGTGCTGGCTCAGGTTGCAAACCTACACACAGACACCATGTATCCATTCCAGAGACAAGGCAGTCTCCTGCAAAACAGAAGTTCTGCCCAGCATGAGAAGAGATACAGATTTAAAAGGAAGAGCAGCAAAGAGAAGGGAAACAACCATGGATTACAGTAAGGCACACATTACAGTACTGTTTTATGTTAAAAAATCTGAGGGTTTAATGTCACTTTAAGCTATGCACTCTGTTAATTGGTTGACTGGTTGTAGTTGCATCTAAAGGGAGCTGGGGAAGTGTTATATCACATAAAGCTCTGGAACAAAATGATTGATGGCAGAGAAAGCGAATAAATGTGAAAGGGAGCCAACAACAGCATGCATCAGGTCCGGGGGAGAAGTGATTAAATGACAGAGGGCCCAAGATAGTCACTGCAGCTTCAAAGGGTTATATTGTGGAAATGCAAGCTTACAGGGAATTAACAGTATACAATTTCAACAGAAGTAAGCTTGCTATAAGCATAGGGAAATGGTAATACTGGAGTTTAGCTTTAAAGAAGTAACAGCAGATATCTAAAAAGAAACTTGATTTTAGCTTGTTTACTTATAGATGAGCTCTATTTTTTTATACATTCTGCCTGTGTTACTTTTTTCTTTTACTTGTTACTATGGTGTTGGGTTCCTATTGTACTATTGTATATATTGTATATTTATAATTTGTGTTTCTTTTCTCACTAATTATACATGGAATTATGGTAACACAATATGTTCTACGTTTACTAATTGTTATTTTTTTCCATTCTAACAGTAGCGCCTGTATAAATTGATTGAGTGATTTGTGTTCACCTTTTTTCTAATTTTTTTTTCATTTGTGGGTGGTGCATAATTCCCACTGGGACCCTTTCTCCAGGGTGCATCTATAGGCTTCTGTATCTCATATCCCATTTCCAGTTACTATGTGATTCACAAGCCTCATAAAGTATAAAAGAAAAAGAAAAGAAAACTTTTTGAGTGAGTCAAATCTTCCTTTATTTGTGCCTCCATTGCTCCCTCTTCTAGATATCACAGCCTACAGTGGGAGGGTTTCAGCAACAGAGACAGTGTTACCAATCCAGAAAGCAGAGGACAGGACTATGTGTGTACCCTGTAACATCTTTTCATTTCATTGTATTGAAAACAGGCAAAGCCTACATGGGTTAAAGTGCTGCTCTGAATTCAGGAGCAGTGCAGCAGCCTTGTCATCACAATAAAGCTGCATGAAGTATACTTTACTGGCAGGATGAACAGGGATTTGTGAAATTTTGTAGGGGACTGAGGGAAAAATTTAAGTGCAGCTGCCCTAACAATCAAGTGCTCCAGCACATATTTTTTTTATGAAAGGTCATAGTTCTACCTGAATTCAATTCATTGTGCTATGTCTGATAACATCATTGCAACACCCAGATGACTATGCCAAGCCTGCAGAGCGTGAAATCTATATTAAATTAGGAACATTCCAAAAATAATTTCATCTTTCTGTTGAAAAAAAAACAATGCCCTATTCCTATCCATACCAACCTTAATGTTATTGCAGTAGTCACAACAAAGTCTTTCATTAAATTACTAACGGCTAGATTAGAGTTAGCATTAGTTGTATATACAGACAAGTTTTATTGCAACTGTCTACATCACTTTAATCCAAAGGTTTACCAATTTACGCAGCTATCACAGAAGACCAAAAAGGCTTGGATAAAGTGTTTATTCTAAGCACCAAAAGCACATTTATTTGGTGGTAGCAAGAATAATGGTTATGCTTGCAACAGAAAAAGTACAAACAAATCATGAATTAGAGAGACATGCAACAGGTGCTCAGCCGCTATCTATATTTCTCAGGTTGAAAGCAATTTTCATTGTACCGCTGTAAACTATTCCCTGTATTGCTGCGCATCTGCAAAAGTCTACATCATTGCAGCAATAGTCATATATATTGAAATCATATATCCACTGGAAACATACTTGTCAGCTAAGCAGAAATTATATAGTCTGTTTGTCAGATGGGTATTTACACAAAGGTCACATCTGCTTTCATCTACTACAAAGAAAATAAATTAAAGATGAACATTTCAACATGCCAGTGATCCATGAAACAAGCTAATTAATAAACTGTAGTTTATATAGTGTGCATGAATGAGAGTTTAGGCAATTGTGGGGTTCTACATTTGAGCTGTATTCAAGGGTTAGATGAATCAAGCCCATTTTCTAAATAGGGCACTCAAGTGTATGTAAATCTAAAATCTATTTTTCAATAAGTTTGACATTATGCCTCACTGTGTATAGTTTTATTAAAGTGATGTTAAAGTGAAAATTTTAAAAGCTATATCAAATGCTGATTAAATCACTTACAATAGATGTTGATCTTTGATGTTTAACAAATGTAGTTTCCATCAGAATCAACTGGTCCCCTAAGCACTGGTCCTGATATCTTGTAATAGTGTGGCTCCTTTTCCTTGCAGGGGTCCTATGTAACCACCCTTGTGTGTGCTAGTAAGCTGTGTTTCTCTGCATACACACAGACACAGCAAAGCAAGTCACTGCCCCTCTCTCTGCTCCCCTTCTCCACGCTAGTAGATGGACAGCTGCTGGAGACTGACCTTTCACATGTAATTTTGTACTGGACAGGAAGTTCAAGGAAAAGTTCAGGGAGTTGGAGCCAGCTGTTCAGAAACATGATCACTGTAAGCGCTTGGGAAAAAATGTAAATAAATATTTTGCTGGGCAATGTATATTTGTTTGATCTGGATTCATTATTGGAAAAAGGTTTGAGAGTTTAATTTTACTTAAGTAAATTTATTTGTGAATCTGGTGCATCTGGCGAATCTGGAGTTTTGTTTTCTTTTACTAGGAGATCCTGCCAGTAACAGCACTTCCTCTTACAGAATGTCAACACTACGCCACACAGTAGAAGTGTTGTCAGACTCCAGTGTGAGCTCCTTCAGTTGGTCATGAGCCTGCCTATTTGACATCATTATTAGGCAGCACAATGGCACAACTTAAAGAGCTCACAGTGCAGGCAGTCAATAATGCTGCTAATTGCGAGGCAATGCCTTATCGTTGTCAGAATGCAACAGGAAGTGTGATTACAGGCAAGATCTCCTGGTAAGAAACTTTGCAATGGTTTCAGATAAAATGATTTGCTTAAAGCTAGCCGAAGGATCGGCCGAAGCTAGGGCCAGATCCTTCGGCAGCTTCGTGAATAGACCCCTATATAAAATGAGCCATGATGCAAATGATACTGAAAAGTAGATTTTGCTATTAAATTAAAATAAAAACCTCTACATAGATATCTTTTTCCACACTTTATCATTACTAGGTACCTCAAAAACACATTTGCGTTCCAATGTAACTCCCATAAACTGAATGTCATACTATAATTTTAGGTAACTCAGAATTGTGGAGCCATTTCACAGTTCTCCTATCTTGTATTACTCTTTGATACTACTGTTACGTTTTTTGTAATTAAAAAACTATAAAGGAATATTGGTACTACATACTGTACACTATATACATTGTGCATATTT